CGCCGCCGCCGCCGCCCGGCCGACACACTCGCGGCTCCGCGGCTGGAAAGAGAGCCGAGCCCAGAGGGCGGCCCCTGGGAGGGCAGGCGAGTGACGTTCCGGCAGGCGAGGGCGGGCCTCCCAGAACCAGAAGCCGCGAAGGTGGGCCGGCTCGTCAGCCGCCAAGCAAGGCGGCCTCCAGTCCCAGGGCGCGCGGAGGAAGCAGCAAGGGGCGCCCTCCGGACTTGGCCGGCAGAGCCCGCCGGGGAGGCGCTCGGGTTGCTGGCTAATCCCCAGGAATGCTGGGCAGGGCGTCTCTCACGGAATTTAGTGAGATTTCCTTCCAGCCACGTGTGTACAGGACGCGGCTTTCTGCATCCTTTCTGTAGGGAAAGCAGCTGAATGGGAAGGTCAGCGGCGGACGACACAATGAAGGCCGCACTGGTGGGTGTTCTGGGTCGCTGCGACCACGCGGCCTTTTTTCTCCCCTTTCTCGATTCTTCCCGGTTCCCTCTCCAGTCGGTGGCTCTGTTGCCCTAAAGTTACAGCCTATTAGTCTTGAAAATTCAGAGGCCCTGTTTTCATAGATGAAATCGTGTTGATTTTTCTTCTAGCTGGCGTAATAGAAAACAAAGTCTTGTATCTTTACGATTAACAAATTTATTTTTTAAGCACGAGTTCTCCTGGATTACAATCCCAATTGTTAAGATGTTGCGGGGTATGACATTCAAGCCTTAGATTTGTATACAAGTGGGCATAGTTATAGGGCGAGAGTGAGACCGTGCTTAGTGTGCTTTTAGAGATTTAAAACAAAATCTCAGCAGGAGTCTTGTAGCACCTTTAAAAATCACAGATTTACTTAAACATGAGCAGGCATAAATTGTAACCCACTTCCTCAGATTCTAGTCAGCTAATATTGTTGTACATAGATAAGAAGTCTCTGTTAATTTGAGGAGCACTTGTTGCTTTTAAACAGATATCCAAGCAATCATCTATATTCAGCATTATAAGAAATTATTTAACATTTTTAAAGGGTGTGGAACCTTTGGCCCTCCAGATGTTTTGGCCAACACCTCCTAACATTCAGTAGGTCTGACAGTAAAAGATTGTAGGAGTTGTGGCCAGAACATCTTGAGTGCTAAAGGTTCCCATCTTTTAAAAGCATCACTTTAAAGCATTTGTTTAAAGCATTCTTCATCAAAAAGGTTCTCAGAACTGCTTACATAAATGAAAAGGAAAGAGTTTGCAAGGTTAAAATCGGGAGGTAGAAACTCAAAACTAACTAATATGTATGGTTGTTGTGGGTTTTCTGGGCAGTTTAGCCATATTCTTAAGGTTTTTCTTCCTAATGTTTCACCAGTCTCTGTGGCCAGCATCTTCAGAGGACAGGAGTCTGAATGAAAAACCTTAAGAACATGGCCAAAGAGCCTGGAAAACCCACAACAACCATTGGATCCCGGCCGTGAAAGCCTTCGAAAATACATTTACTAATATGTAGTTATAAATACCATAGTTCCATAAACCCTGATATATTTTATTTACTTTATTTATTTTATTTGTTCGATTTATATCCCGCCCATCTGGTATATTCTACCACTCTGGGCGGCTTAAAGAATATCAAAAACAATTAAAAAAATAAAAACATTAGCATACAACAATAACAAATAGTGCAGGAATAAATAAATAATAGCAAAGCAAAGAAATCAGTAGTTGACAGGAGGGAAGGCCTGGATGTACATCCATGTTTTCAGTTGGCATTTGAAAGTACCCAGCGTTGGGGCCTCGCGAATTTCCGGAGGAAGGTTGTTCCAAAGGTGAGGAGCCACCGCCGAGACGGCTCGGCTTCGTGTCTTTTCCTTCTGGGCCTCCCTCGGTGTCAGGCTCCTCAGCCTCACCTCCTGACTCATGCGGTTGATCCGAGTAGATCTTGGTGGGAGCAGGCCAATTAAATTTAATTAAATTACTATTAAGGAGTAATAGAACTGTACACTTCTCAAACATACTTGATAATTAAATTCTCTTACATCTTTTGGATTGTTTTCTGCATGCAAATATCTTCATACCAAATTTTTTTTAAAAAAACATAAAATTGTAACTAAAGTCCTGTTGCTTACTGTAGAATCATGGAAGTTTGGTGAGTGAACACTATATTCCACTGATTCAAACTTACGTTGGTGTTTTATGTTATTGTCAAGTACTTATCTGGTATTCAAATAGTCATGTTTCATTATCTTGCCTGCCCACATTAAAAACAAGTTTGTGTACTGGATAAGCTAGAAATGTAGGTTGTGATATATATCTGAGTTTGGTCAACAAGTAATGAATTACTCCAAGAACAAATGTACAAATCATAGTCCAACTTATAAATTCTGTGTGAGTGTGTGTCCTGTTGAGACTGCTTTTATTAACTAGAGATCTCAAATGATGAAACTCAAATGGCTGAAATCCTGTTGCTTAGTATATTAGGTTGCAACTTATTTGATTCAATGGAACTTACTGACGAGCTGACTCACCGAACCACCACAGATTCAATGGGCCCACTCTAGTGTGACTTGCCATCCATTTGTCTATGATTATGCTGTAACATTACAAGTTACACTACCTGTCATCCCCAATTCCATCTACAGTGGTGTCCCACTTAACGATTACCCCGCTTGACGATGAATCCGCTTCACAACGTTTTTGCAATCGCAACTGCGATCGCAAAATGTTTTAATGACCCCGCTTGACGATGAATCTGCTTCACAACGTTTTTGCAATTGCAACTGAGATCGCAAAATGTTTTAATAGGATTTTTTCGCTTCCCGACGATCGGTTCCCTGCTTTGGGAACCAATTCTTCGCATTCCGACGATCAAAACAGCTGATAGTCGGGTTTTCAAAATGGCCGCTGGCTGCTCAAAATGGCTCCCCGCTATTTTTAGGAGGCATTTTTCACTGCGCAGGCACCCGAAAATGGCCGCCCTATGGAGGATCTCTGCTGGACGCGCAGGTATTTCGCCCATTGGAACGCATTGAACGGTTTCAACGTGTTTCAATGGGCTTTTTTATGTTGCTTGATGAGGATTTTGCTGGAATGGATTGTCCTCGTCAAGCGAGGCACCACTGTATTCTTTTTCTGAAAAGAGGCAGCTTCAGAGTGAATGAACTTAATCAAAATGTTCAGGTTTTCTTTGAGAACAGTTGCCTGACTTGGCAGCTTTTTAACTGGATTTGAGAATTGCGTCATGATTGCAGATTTTAATGCTGAATGATCATATTTTTAATCCACAGATCATCACAATGAAGTCATGTTTTAACTGGCAATGAAAGAAACAAGCTTATCAAATACATATAGTAGTGCACACACATACACACACTTTATCATGCGATCAGACAAGGGCAAGTATTCATAAAATTACTGTATTAAAGCCTTCCAGAGTATTTAACCTATATGATTTATTCCTTCAGTGTGTATTTTTACATTCATATTTAAAATACCTTCGCACAATCTTTAGCATAACTACTGTACATGGTAAAATCTTGAAATAGACAACACAATACACTTCATATCCATGCCAGTTTTAAACATTTCACTTGGCTGATAGACAAAGTTCTTTTTTTAAAAAAAGGAACTATAAAAATGTGCACATAAAAGTCATCCCTTTCAGATTTTAATAAAATACTACTTTGTACAATACTTTAGTGAAAAATTCCAGAATTTACAAAATACACTTTGAGAGAAATGAATTATATATATATATATATTAAAAGAAACTGAAATAGTGAACAAAATAGCCTAAGACAATTATTTGTACCTTACAAGCATACCCATATAGAAACTGGGCACTTGAATAAGGAAAATATTACTGATCCTGCAGATAGATAAGAATCCACAACAATGAAAGGGAGATTGTGTGGAACATAGATGGAAAGCAGGCTGATGAAAACCTGACCAGCAGCTCTCTTAGAGCACAGATGTCCTTGTATAAAGTAATATTAAAACAGATGATTTTGCTGGTTCTGAGTCAAATAACAATGTCATATATCCTTTAGGACTAGTTCTTGCAGGTGGACAGTAGAGACCATAGTAAACCTTAACAAATTTAATATACAAGAAGAAATTCCAAGGGCAAATTAGTCACCTCTATCCCTAGGCACCCCCAAAACTTAAATTTAAAGTAATATAGCAGAAACATTAGCAAATCTAATCATTCTCTCTTCCACAGAAATCTGTAACCATATTCGTGCACTGGAATGCCAGAAAACTGAACAAATTAAGAATGATGGAAATTATACTAATTAAAATATATGCCAGATATCAATAGAATTTTTTCTGGACTGTGCCCCAAGTTAAAGTGCTTTTACATTTCCTCGATCTCAGTGCCAGCATGCATTCCCTCTTACATGGAAATCAAGTGGAAAAAGCATTTGGCAGTTGAGCTGGAATATGCTCCCGGTTCAGAGGAAAATACACACTTCCCATACTGCAGTGTGGCCCTTTTAAACTAAGGAGCATTCTACCTGCTCACAAAAATTAATGTGTCATATCCCATAGTCTGAGAGGTGATATTAGTATATTTTGTCTTGGACAGACACTTAAAGAAACTTCAATTTAAGTAGCTCTGATTCATGTAACGAGCTAAGATGACGCTAATGGCACTAATCAAACATTATTTTCTTACATAGCAATGTGTGAGGCATGAAAGCCAAGATGATTTCTGCCAAAAATGTAAGACTGAGCCATTTTAAAACTTAGTGATAAAGTAGTAGCCTTCAGCATATTTCCTTCTCACACTATGAAATATGAGCTAGGTTCTGAAGAACATCAGACTACAGGATAACAGTACTGGAGAACCAATACAATGTTTGAGAGAATTTGAATTTGAGGGACTGGGTTGGTCTGCAATCTTCTGAAGGGAAAACATAAACACCAAATCCCTTGGCCTGGACAAACACAAAGAATTAATTGACAATATTATTCATATTTACGAAAACATACTATTTCTGGCATCATGCTTTGTATACACCAGTTTCAAGAATATATAGTTATTACTGAACAATAAGAAGCACAGAATTTGTCAAAAAGAATGCTTGATTTATAATCAAAATCAGCTCTTTAGCGAGCCTGTGGTTTATTGAAGCACCAGAAAAGAGTAAATTTACCAAAATACTTCTTGTAACTATTACAGGGGTACCTCTTTTACACATTTGCATATAGACTACTCTATATCCCTGAAGCATGTTTACTCTGGTTTCCTGTCAATAATTTGTTCATGGTGCTACTTAACAGAAAAGAATGCATTGCAGTAAATCTAGGCAGACAAATGTCAAAGTTGCTTTGGCAGAACACCTAGAAATGAACTTTACATAAAGCAAAGCTAGCATTGCCACATTAATTAAATCTGTTCACAATATCAGAGCAAAAGGATCTGAAAATACATATAAATAAATCATTTTCAGAAGTCATAACATCCTTGAAAAGGAGACAGAACACCTACAATTCACGTTTTGTATGAGGACAAGTCTCTAATCTCTTGGTTTAAACAAAGCAGTTATAAATTAGAATTGCAATCTCAATATTATTGTTCTTCTCTTGGAATAATACAGAAAAGCCACTTTTTTGAGACCTAGGCACAATGGATGATGTAGTTGTGTTAATTCTGTGTTTCCTAGGTGTTACGAGGTTTAATCAAATTCTCCAGTGAACATATTTTTCAAATAATGTAGCTGACAGAAGGTATTCACAATTCAAAACATCTTTTGAATTTTGTTTAAAATTTGATACAGCACTTATTTTTTGAACACTACCAAAAAATGAAGTCACTCATGTATCACACTTATTCTGAAGGCTTGGGTGCACCAAAATTAACAGCCAATTTCCTTGGCTTTCGTTTGGCAAAAGCATTTGATGCTGACTTTTTACGAGGTCCTACTGAGTTTGGAGAAGCTGTTTTCTCTTGATATGACATTGTAGGCTGAGCTACTTGAGGAAGAGACACTGAATCTTGGGGATTCAGTGCTGTTGTATCAGATACTGGCTGTTCATTGTTTAACTGTACACATTGAGAAGAATCTAGGAATTCCTTAGCTTCAGAGTTCACCTTGCTTGCAGCCCTTTTTTTAGTTACCTTTAAAAAAAGAATAAGACATACTCTTTAAAGGGTGGGAAGTGTATATAACTTTGTATATACAGTACTTATACAGTTACTGCCCAACTTACTTGCAAAGGTATAAATTGATTGTGTGCGCCAACTTGTACAGGGCCTAAAAAAGACATGTTTCCTGGATATGAACCTGGATAATAAGGTTTGCCATGGACTGGCATTGGTGTTCCCCATGGCACTGGACCAAATGCCTGAGCTGGTGAATGAAACACATTACCTGTGAAAATAATGAGTTTATTTTAGATTCTCGTACCAATTAAAAAAAATAGGTACCTACTCTGACCATCCCAAATTCAGTTTGGACTATGTTGAAAAACTATATTATTATACTCTACGTAAAGTATAATAACTGATTTGATCTTCTAAGCTTATAAAGTCTGTATTACTTTGGTTTCAGAATAAGAAGCAGTCATCACAGAAATTTGTTTTCAAGACCTTTGTGAACAGTGCATTTATAGCATCTTTTCCCATTATGAAGTTATCCAACACCACCACATAAAAGAAAAACCAATTTTCTCCAGTCTTAAAAATGTGAAATATATTTTATGGACATATTAAAAGTTATTTTTAAGAATGTTCTGTATATACTGAGACATGGGTAGTGAACATTTTACTGGTAAGGACCTCACGTCCTCTGGTTCATCAGTTAAGGACTGCATGGTACAAGGCAGAAGTGAAGCCAGTGATGAGCAAAGACATGCCGTTTGCATTTCTTCCATTTTCTGTATTTCCTTCTGTTCAGTCCCCTTTTCCCCCACACATCCCTGCTCAGTGGGCTGCTGGGGGAGATAGATTACAGTTGGCAGAGGTCTGAACTGAGCATTACCTCTGAAATTAGGTTGATCATTGTCTGCCTCAGGACTAAAGGAATTATGTGAAATTAGAGGAAGGCACTTTTGTTGGTAAGGATGGGAGTTGGCACTTACTCAACATTTATGAGAAATATGCAGACCACTTCTATATTTTAACATATTCAGACTGGGATTATATATACATGCTGTACATAAAACATTCATTTTTCCATTCCCCAAGCCCCTAAAATTGTTAAGAAGTACCAGTGTGCTGGGCGAAGACTGGCGGAATGGATCCATGTGATACAAGAGGTCCTACAGTCTGATAATTTGGAAATACTGATGGTGGTGTTGGTGGCGGAGGAAAGTTCATTCCCATAGAGCTCTGTGTGAAAAAGTATGCGTAATTTTTTTGAAATAGAAAGCATAAGAAACATTAAAAAGGTCATTCTAATGCTGCATAAATTATTTTTACTACAGGACTCACCAACTGTTGTAAAGCAAAAAGTGCTGCTTTCTCCTTGGCTTCATTTTCAGAGTGACACTGAGGTCCATGTACTAATAAACCATTTGACAGCTTTACCTGACAAACTGTCATTGTCTATTTAGAAAAAAAAATGATGTTAATAAACAACACAGTTGTTTTCAGACACAGTACTGCAAATAAAAACTACAGAGCTAAATAGAGATTGAAAATAAGGCATAGATATTTTTTTTTTGTCTTCTAGTCTTGGGGAGGGTTCACTAAATTTCTTATCAAATGTTAACTAAGAAGCAAGCATTTGTATTCAGGTCATGGATTAAAGGCCACACCCAATGTCATGAGAATCTACTCCTGCTTTTGCAGTGGGTTTTCTATTTCTCCTCCTCCTGCATGACTCATGCATAATCTCCAAATTTACTCTGGAGCGTCTCCCAATCCTTTCGGCTGGGTGTAGCTGGGAATGCCACACAGACATTAATACAAATGATTCACTGATTGTGCTAAAAGGATCTTTCCGTCTAATACACAAATGCACAACTGTTTCATATTTGAGGTCATATGGGTTATGCTAGGGACATACATATCTATGGACATGCAAATATAATCCTTACTAATCTGAATGTTTGCCAATCAAGCACACATGTACAGTTCTATACTTGCCTACTAAAAATAAAGCCTTTACTTTCAGATATATGCAACATTTATTTATATATCTGCTCAGAAGAAAGGCCAGGTGCAACAGTTTTCATGCACACAAAGCACAATCCCACATTTAGAAAGCAGGTTTTTAACATTTAAAGAACTTTAAATGCTAATCTCTGAACACTGATCAGTTAAGAATCAAGAGAAGGGAAACCTCCCTGACCCAAATCTCTCAGGTTTAACAGCAGCTATCTTTCTAACCATAGTCCATAGTTCAAGAGTGAGGGATACTGGGTGGGCCCACACAACCTACAACTGACACACCACGAGTTGTGCATCCCTGAGCCAACAAAGGTAAGTTTAGGGGAACAAATTGGGGACTTTAAATAGAATGCTATGGGCTTTTTGAAAAACTTTTACCCATAATTCAAAGGGTCAGTACTGATTTTATTTTTAGCACTAAGCAATTAATTTAGAATGCCTTTTCTGGAGTTTCAGAAAAAGATAATGGTTTATTTGTTTAGCAGATCTACAATTGGAAAAGAAAACCGTGCTGGATAGCTCAGTGGTTTAGGCCACTGGTCCCCAACCTTTTTGGGACCAGAGATGGCAGAGCCTCTGAGGAAGGCGGGGCACCCCCATGCGCATTCGTGTGTGGTCTCTGGTGCATGCGCGAATGTTGGTGGGTGCGCGTGTGCCCACCAGTACTCCCCCATCACTTCGCGCAGGTGCTTGAGCACATGCGCAAAGGGGTGGGGGAGCGCTCACACCGGCGCTGGCACACGTGCTTGCACACAAAGCAGCTGTGGGGAGGGGAGTGTGGGGGGGTGGCGGGAGGTCTGTCTCCGCGGCCCGGTCTGGTTCAGGCCACGGACCAGCACCGGGCCGCGGACCAGGGGTTGACAACCTCTGGTTCAGGCATCTAGCTGCAGAGCCAGAGGTTGGGAGTTTGATTTCCCACTCTGCCTCCTTGACGGGCTGGATTCGATTCACAGGGTCCCTTCCAGCTCTTCAGTTCTAAGGTTATTATTATTAAAGCCAAGCTTACCTGTGGAGTTCTGAGGAATGAAAAATCGGGTTGCAACATTCCAATAAGGGAACATATACGTGAAAGCTCTGCTACTGGAGTTGATAAGGGGTTTGATGGTCCAAGAAGAGGCTGGCCTCCAGTTTCCACTGCCTGAGTATTCTGAGACCCTCCTGTGCTAGGGGATTTGCTCATGAAAGCAGCTATAAATGAAACAGAATTAACAAATTAATATAATATCAGTGTTTGAAAAAGAGGATATTTACCTTCTTTGAACGTTAGAAGTACAAAAGGTATTATACCTTTTAGTAACCCTAGGGAAGATATAATGGTGTAATGTCCTACTATTCTTTTAATCAACAAATCTGCTACAGCCCCGTGTGCTCTGAAAACCTGCTAGGGAGGACTGGAGAACTTTCTGGAGTCACTTTTTGGTACCAAGCAAGGCCTGCAACAAGAGAGAAGTCCCTATTCCCCTGTCCTTGACAATTTACACCAGGAATTAGAGGGGGGAGCATGTCCTTGTTGGTTCTGCTGGAGCTTTCAGTGGCTTTGTTCCTGTGAGAGCTGTGTCTGTTCCTGGAGAGGTCTGATTTGGCTACAATAATACATACTTTAGTTGCATCTTGGCTGGATACTGCAACACACTACGTGGCCAGTGCATTTTTGGCTTTCTATGTGGGACTGTATCAGATTTGACTTCTCATCTCTGTTTTGTGTTGTTCCAACGCAAACCAAAGAAATGAATGTTTGCAACTGCAACCATTTTCTGAGAGAAGGGTTGCATTTTCTGACAGAATTGCAAGGCTGCCAATATTTCAAATAAATAAAGTACCCATTTGATTACTGTTGTGTGCTACCAAGTCACTTCTGACATATGCTAACCCTAATGTAATTTTCAGGGTATGTAAGATGTTCAAAGAATGTTTTGCTCTTTGAACATCTTGCACATCACCTTCCAGTGAGTCTTCCATGGTCAAGTGGGAATGTGAACTCAGGTCCGACACTCTATTCACTATACCACCACTTGCTCTCGTTCCTACTGGATACTGGCTATTCATTTTTAAAATGCACAACTAATATTCTATTAAGTTCTTCAATTACAGAAAGAAGCTTTTGCTCATACCCATCTTTTTTGGATGTCTGTGGTGTGAAGCAGGTCCATAAGTATCTCGTCTACAAGTGGAAGAAACTTCATTAGCTACTGTCTTTCCTTCTGCTGTATCAGAAGTGTCTATCTTCAAAATTTCTTTGAGCATCTGTGTTCCTTTCTTTAAAAAGAAAATGAAATTAAATCGCTGTAAGTTGAGAGACGTTTTATCATATAAATCTGTCTGAGGTTCTAAACAGAAAGCAAGGAACTTTCTAACCTTAGAGCAAATACAACTGATCATACAAACCATTGCAAAAGACTGTGGAGATAAGTGCTCTTCATTTATTGACTCCTTGGAATAAGATGACTGTATTTCCTTGTCTTTGGAAATTTTCAAAGATGTGAAAATGTCTCCAAGTTCAGATCCATCCTAAGGAATACATATTGACAGCTATTAATTTGGATAACACAATCCAGATAGGACTATACATGTTCAAATCCCATTGAATTTAATTTCTCACTGGCATTATCAGAATTTACCTAGTTTACACACAGAAATTTGTACTGTTTGACCATTTTATTTATGAATCACTTTCAATAATCAAGATGCCTTTAGTAATATACTCCAAAAATTATGCTGGCTAGGAACTGAGAGTGCACAGTGCCACAAGTATCAGGTTCACAGTGTTTTGAACTACATAAATAAGATCATGTGATTCATTTTTTTTTATTTATTCAATTTTTTACCCCGCCCCCCTAGACAACGTCTACTCGGGGCGGCTTACAAAAATTAAAACACATTAAAACAATGTAGAACAATAACTAACATAATGCAATTATTATAATTAATATTATCCAAGATGGCAACATTAAGAACCAGAAAAAAGGGGGAAAAGAACTTAGGTGACTGGGGGGAAGGCCTGTCTGAAGAACCATGTTTTTAGTTGGTTTTTGAACACACCCAGCGAGGGTGCCAGCCGAATTTCAGTGGGAAGTGTGTTCCGCAGCCGAGGGGCAACTGCCGAGAAGGCCCGGTTTCTTGTTTTCTCCTTCCGGGCCTCCCTCATAATCCACCAGGAACCCATTCCAAAGCACCAAAGGCTCGGATGTTTTTAGTTCTTTCTAATTCCAGTGGATTTATTCAAATGAGCAAGAAAATTCGTAAGGTATGCATTATATTTTACATGTAACACTATAATCTCATCTATCATCTCAGTACTCCTCTGAGATTATTCTTTCCAGTGTGCCTCTGAATAGGGATCTAGCATCCCCTTGGCAATCCTCTGGGTTTATGCTTCGCTATTTTAAGGGAAAACCAATACCTTCTCACTTATTAAGCTTTCTAGAAGATCCTCCTATGATCTGTACAGATTCTCATAAAGAAAAATGTTCATGAAGAAAATCTTTCATTCATTAAAATCTAATGCACTATGGTTTTCTAGTAGTTTTCTTTTCAGACTACACTTGACACTAATATTTAGGTAGTGATTTCCTACCTTTTCAGCAATACCAAGACGATCCACTGCAGCATTCTGTTTCAATGGCACATCTGGATCTTCTTTCCTCTTTAGAAGTTTCACATTATACTTAGCACCTGTAACATTCTGAAACAGATTATAGTTATTTATATTCCAACAATTGAACACTATGTTAATTGTAAATAAGTTTCAAAACACAGAAGGCCTTTAAACAAATTCTGCCCTGTGAAAGAATTATGATAAGGAAATGTGTCACGTTAAAAAGTTATGATCAACTCCAGTCATTTAAAACTAAACACTGAATGCAGAACTAATTTTAAATGCTTCAACTTCATTAGCCAATCCAATTCAGCCACACTCTAGGATCTAGTGTGTACATCTTTCTCAAGGTGTAAATTGTAACATATATATCGAGTACACAAAATTTCTCTTTTTCAAGCAAAGATCTATAAAGAAAGCTGTCAACTTAAACCATGACCAGATTTCAATGAGATACTTTAGGGTTCCCCTTGACAAATTGTCCAGTTGTGTCCGATTCTAGAGGGCGATGCTCATCCCCATTTCCAAGCCATAGAGCCAGCGTTTGTCCGAAGACAGGTTCCGTGGTCACGTGGCCAGCACAACTAGACACAGAACACCGCTACCTTCCCACCAAGGTGGTACCTATTTATCTACTCACATTTTTACATGCTTTTGAACTGCTAGGTTGGCAGGAGCTGGGACAAGTGACGGGAGCTCACGCCGTTGGGTGGATTCAAACTGATGATCTTACGACCTTGAAGCCCAGAGGCTTTGTAGTGTGCTATTTTTGTGCTTGTATTTTCTCTGAACAAGTATATTACTTTGTTACATATCCAAATTGTATGTAAAAGTGAAAAGCCACACGGCATAAATTGAAGAAACACCAGCTCAAAGCCTTCTTAGACATGCAGTGTCACTGCATACTGTAATTGTTTGGATCGTGACTCAAGATTGCATTAGGACTGGTAGCAGGATCACAACTATTTAAAAATGGCTATGAAAAATGTATTGTCCATTGCAACAGAGGAATGAAGTTTTCTAATACAGTGGTGCCTCGCATAGCGAGGTTAATCCGTTCCGGATTAACCTTCGCTATAGCGAAACATCGCTAAACGGAATAAAAAAAGCCATAGAAACGCATTGAACTTCGTTCAATGCGTTCCTATGGCTTGAAAACTCACCATTCAGCGATGTTTCTTCATAGCGCCGCCATTTTCGCGCCCTCGTTAAGCGAGGGCAGGGCGCGAAAATGCGGCGCAGACCTTCTGGCGGCCATTTTGGAACCGCCGATCAGCTGTTCTCCCCGGCTTCGTTATGCGAAGATCGCTAAGCGAATCGCTTAGCGATC